AACATATTTGGTCTTCATTTTTTAAAATTTATTTTTCTTCAAACATATTTTCAATCATATATTTATGGAATTCACATTTTTGCTCTTGAGATAACCCCCTCAATAAATTATTATTTAAACGATTCGTAAACATTTTAATTGATATTATTTTTTTATCAACCAAATGGTTAATATTTTTATTTAAACTTACTTATATGCTCAAAAATAAACTTTCTATGGTGAAAGAAATAGTGTGGAAAAATAGAGAACATGTTTGGCTTAGCTTTTATTCGGCTTATCTCCTTATAATTTTGGCACAAAGCACACGGAAAAACAATCAGTCATCTTGCCTTATTTTTTTAAAACGTTTCTTTGAAACAGCTGTGTTAAAAAAAACAATGAATTTGACGAGAATTTTAAGGAGATTTCACAAAGGAGATATAAACAAACAAATGATAATATCTCATGTAATGAAGCATGTCACCCATACCTCCAAAAGCCCACATTCTCCCTCACAATCAACAGCAGCAATCTAGCATTCTTTTCTGTCTGAAGATCGTATAATAACATAAAACATACAATGCAATGTCTTTAAGTTGACTGAAAAGGGAATGGTAAATTACTGAGGCTTCAGAAGAATGATTACACGGTGATGTCCAATCCGAGTTTCACTTATACGACCAAGGTGCCGAAGTACCTTGCAAACAAAATAACATTGAAGATTAGAGCCTGGAACAATGTGAGGACATTAAAGGTATCGTGTGTAAGATCCAGTTTGCCTTAAATATTAGCCATCTAGCAACATGGAACCTACTACCTAGTAATGTTCTGAGTTGTGATTTGTACTTGGTCTAGATACTTCTTGAATCTGCATTCCTTCCATGAACCTATGGTTCATTTCTGTCTAAGCTGGTAATATGCCTGATATGGGTAAGTATGTATCACTGTGTGTCAACCTTGACCTAAGAAGTTTAATACCGCTTCATAAGGCAATAGTGATAACGTGCTAGTCTACAGAAGGTTACACATCCTAAGATAATTTGTCCCTTTTAAGTAAAGCCTAAGCGCACATTTTGTACACAACGCAAAGATAGGATTGAACATTATACGAGCAAGATATTAGCT